AATGTTTCCACAGAGGTGACTGGTATCGCACTGAAACACGGATTTGAAAGCAGCATAATGACAGAGTTATGAGAAACATTCAATCGACAGATGAATTTGTACATTCGATTTCTCAAAAGAGCATGGAACGTGTTGACTCGTGCGTTACAGAACATTTCACTTGCACTGCACCACCTTGGTTTTCTAAGCAGTATACGCAAACAGTCATTATATGCAACCTGGAGCTTCTTGAGGCTCGCCTTCTTATACTTGACCACAAGGGGGCAGTATAGAGAGGAGTGCAATAAGCTCTAAAGAGGTTCACCTTAACCTTATCTGAACACCAAGAGAGTTTTCTAGCCAACATGTTGGCTTGCATATATAAGACACGCCGCTGTCTATACATGTCATCCTCATCAGCCATTTCATCTGTGATGATGTGTCCCAGATACTTAGTGTTACAGCAAACAGACAGCAGATACTTAGTGTTACAGCAAACAGACAGCAGATACTTAGTGTTACAGCAAACAGACAGCATCTGTCCTGACAGGTAGAATGTTGGAAAACAAAGGTTCTTATCCCCTTTCGCTCTGCAGATCATTACAGCGCTCTTCTTAGCATTGTATTTAACGTCAAATTTGACTCCGTAATCAGAACAAACATTTAGCAACTGTTGAAAACCAGCACTGCTAGGAGAAACAATAGCCAGATCATCGGCATACATAAGATGGTTTACAATCACATTACCAATCACACACCCTGTTTTACAGACACTTAAATCATCTGATAGATCATTCATATAGATATTAAAAAGGCATGGTGAGAGGAGCCCCCCCTGGCGGACTCCATTACCAACACCAAATGGCGCAGAGACTGCATTCCCCCATTTGATCCGCATGCTCTGGTTGGCATACCAATAAGCCAGGATCCTAATTATACTGTTAGGCACACCCCTTTGTCTCAATTTTAAAAACAGTTTATGATGGTTAACTCGGTCAAAAGCCTTAGAGGCATCAATGAAACCAATCAGAACAGTGGAATTCTGTCTTCTATATGTTTCTACCATTTCCTTCAAAGCATAGATGCATAGCTCAGTACCATGCTTAGCCTTGAAGCCAAACTGGTTATCTGAGGTACATAAATATGAACATAGTCTACCTAACAAAATTCTTTCCAAGACTTTGGATAACACACTGGCTAGAGCAATTGGTCTATAGTTATCCAAGCTCCCTACCTTGCCCGCTTTGTCCTTAATGACAGGCACCAAAGTAACAGTCAACATGGAGTCTGGCAACATACCATGAGTCATGAGGCCGGTAAAACAAATGGCAAGAAGAACTGCAACCTTCGGGCTTGCCAGTTTAAGGTGCTCTGCAGTGATTCGGTCAGAGCCGCATGCTTTGTTATCAGCTAGCTGTGAAATTGCTCGATAAACCTCTTTAGCTGTAATTCCCACTGTGTCACTCTTCACAACATCACCAACTTTGTAGGGGTCACTTTTAACACAATTAAGTATATTAGAGTAATGTTGCCTCCACAACTCAGCTATGTTATCGGCTCCAGATACTCCCTCTATGGTACACGGTAATGACGTACTGGCCCTGTTCAGAGCTCTCACCTCCTTCCAGAAGCCAGTAACATCATTATGAAGGAGCTTTTCAGCCATAGAGTCCGCTCTCAATGTTTCTGTGTGTTTGTTGACATAACAAACTGCATATTTATATCTAGCATTTGTACGCTTTTTGAGATCCAGGACAGGCCCCTCTCTGGGCCTACCTGCCTGGACCCAGGCCCCAAAAGCATTCTTGGCTTCAGCATATTGATCAGCCACATGTTTATTCCACCCTGGCTTGACGTTGTGTCTCTTCCTAGAGTAGGTACAGCACGGTCTACTGGCCTCCCATACAGCTCCCACAATACAATCATACATGTTACAGAGGTCTTCACGGTGAGAGTTTTCATTACAACCCACATCAACACACAGAGTTGCCACTTTGGGTAGATATACATCACTCAATAGGACATCAGTTCTCCCATAGTACAATAGCCTATCCTCATTTGTGAGCTTGGACCAATCCACTTTAGTGTTACAGGCATTTTTAACCTCCTGAGACATCTCAGGGAGACTATCACAATCTAGTGACATTATAAAAGGAATGTGATCTGACATTGATGCCTCATACACAATCTCGATTGATCTTACAGTGTCATGGGCATTAGCAGTGCTTATGCAATGGTCAAGCCATGAAGTTGTATGCCAGGCCTCGCTTATATATGAATAGCTATCTGTAGGCCAGTAGCGTGGCGTGGGGAAAAATGTAGGGGAAGCCCATTTTTTGGGTCGGGGGGTGGTCAATAACGTAACCAGATGAGTGATTACAGCGCCCGGTATCATTTTACACACATTGGTATCACACAGATGCAGGACTTGCACACGCCTGTTATCTAACCGAAAGGTCCGCACGCACTCTCCAGCTGAAACTCTCTCCTTATTAATTTAAGCATTTTACTTATTAATGTATGCAGACAATCACACAATCTATGTGATTTTTGGATTTACCGTGCCTCTCAATTGCCCGTGACAGGCTGGCAAGGTCGATGAATCCTGAAGTTGCCCAAGGATTGTTCAGGGAGCACGAATCCTTGTCAAAAAGAAGACATGGCCAGCAAATTAGACGCTGAAGTTTAGCGCTTCCAGTTAGCCACTCCGTGCGGACATAATTGTCCTCATTGAACGTCCGATTCTCTCCCTTTTTCCTCTGCGTACACACAGCTCGAGTGCGGGCATTGGCCTGTCATCTGATTTAATTTGTAGTTGCTGCTGTAGCGGAAGTTTAGTAAAGTTATGTTTGATTAAGTACGCCAAATCTCCACCCTCCATAATGCTTCATTTGCTTGATAATTTCTAACGGCGGTGATGACAGTTACAGTATTAAAACTGATGTTGATGTGATTTGATTGGATGGCAGTGTCCAATCAAATCGCCAGCCGCCAGCCGCCTCTGAAGGGAAGCAAGAGGCGGCTAGCTTCCCTTGGCATGGCCCTGACCAATCACAGGTTGGCAGGGGCATCACGTGGGCCTCATCTGATTGGTCAATCCCTCCATTTTTTTTCACCAAGGGAAGCTAGATTCTGCTGGCCTCCTCTCGCAACAGTGAGTGCAATCTACTGTTTCACCATAACATCTAGAGGGGCGCTGTTTGTTTCACTCTTTGTAAAATACTCAATGAGAATGGGGGAGAGCCGGGCCGGCAGCAACACACAGCAAAGGAGAATTATCGAAACAAAACAAAGTGTTTGTATTTATTTATTTAAATTATAACTACAATCCGAAAAAACAGGGGAAGCCTGGCTTCCCTTGGCCTCCGGGAGAAAACGCCACTGCTGTAGGCAGAAGTATTTGGCTTGATAATATAAGATTGTTATCATCACAAAACTGTAGCATATGCTTAGCAAACAAGGACCTTTTGTCTGATATGTCAGCATTCATATCACCCACTACAAAAACACTGGTGGAATGATTATCAGCAATAAAAGAATGTATAAAAGCAAGTCTGTTCAGGTATTCATCTTCATTATGCTGTGACTCATATGGTGTATATACATTGAGAATGCTAAACTCCTTGTTATTCATTTTGATCTGTACAGCAATACACCAGTCAACTTCAAGCCTGATGACATTAATGACAGTGTCCAGCTTTTTGTGCCACAGGATAGCCACGCCCCCTGCTATCCTTCCTCTCACTATTCCCAGAGATAGGTCCGTAGTGGACTCACCAGCCCCGTGAAAATTGTCATTAAGAGAGTTCAACTTTCCCAAGTCCTGCTTTGGTAAGAAAGTTTCTTGCAAGCATAAAATGTCACATTTTTGTAGCAAGTTGTCCACCACTACACGTCGGATCCTATCAGCAGCGCTGTTGCCCAGGCGCAGCCCGCGACAGTTAAATGATCCAACCCGCATAACGTTTAGCTAAGCAGCTCAGCCGTAGCCCCATTCAGTACCCTCGCACCAGCAAAAGGTCTAGCTCTGCTAGCCCCTATCACCTCCGCTTTACGTGGTTCATAGTATCTTCTCACAACTGAGCCTTCAGGCCAGAGTTCTGGGTTAAACATCTCCGCAACTTCATTGCACTCAGCACACACTTTAAACGAGCTATATCTGCTGCTTGCAGTGTCAATACGGTGACAGTTAACATCACGGCCGAGTTGTTCAGTTAGATATTCGGACAGTGTCTCAGCATCAAGGTCTGATGAGTACTTCTACTTTTACTCAAGATCTGAGTACTTCTACTTTGACTCAAGATCTGAGTAGGCTACTTCTACTTTTACTCAAGTACAAGGTCTGAGTACTTCTACTTTGACTCAAGATCTGAGTACTTCTACTTTTACTCAAGTACAAGATCTGAGTACTTCTACTTTTACTCAAGTACAAGATCTGAGTACTTCTACTTTTACTCAAGTACCAGATCTGAGTACTTTTCCCACCTCTGCTTCTTCAAATGATGACATATTGATCATATAATTAAATTAAACTTGTAAACATTGATGGTAGCAGTAGTTGGAGCAGGAGTACTGGGATAACTTACAGTAGAATGTATTTAAAGTAGTTAATTTGACCTTTTAAGCACTAGAAAAACAGGAAGTATTTGGACTGTTGTGGCTTCACTTCCTGCGTTTTTTAGAGATGCGTGTGTTTTGTCTGAAACTGAAACCGAGGTTAGATGACAGTCTACTAAACATTTCCCTGTTCTAATAAACTCCTTGTCTTGTTGGTGAATTTAGGATCCTTGTTTTAAATTTGTTGGACACAGTATGGATGGAAACCAACCTGGTCTCACCAGAATACGTGACTCCACCACGTACTGCGGTGAAGGAGTCGTGGTGGAGTCACGTATGAGACCAGGTTGATGGAAACACACTTGCTCAAAAAGTCTAGTGTCGTCTTTCCATGAGGGAATGTACCTCATTATTGTTTATGAAATATAATAAGTAGAAGGCGTGTTAATAACAGGAAGGGCTTGTAAATGTCGTAAGAATTTATTTTTATTTTGAAAATGTTTACACTGGAATCATTCACAAACATAATTCATCATTTTCATTTTTTTCAAAACTGTAGAAAACAAACATTAAAATCAAACTAATAACTCATATCAGTAAAAGATTGTATTCATTGGATAAACACTGATTTATCCTTTATATCTAATCAGGCACTTAGCAAACATACATAGATGAACAACATACAATAAAAAAATGAATACACAATCAATGTATCAGGAAGCACGGAGTTGAGAAGAAACGGCAAGTAAGAATGTTCAGAGTTTTGAGAATAAAGTCAGAACTAGTTATTTTTATTGCTGACTTTTTTTCCGGAATAAAAAAAAAAAAGTCTAAACTATGTATTTTCTCAGATTTCTGCCTTTTTCAAGAATTCAGACTTTTTTCAGAATTCAGATATTTTTGAATTTTCTGATTTCAGAGAAAAAACTTTGAATTATTGATTTCTCAGTATTCTGCTTTTTTTCAGAATTCAGATTTTTTGAAAAAATTATTGTTAGAAAAATATCACTCGTCACCGGCTAGGTCTTCAATAACAGGATACATGCATTTATTATTATTGGAAGAATGGAAGTAGTCATCACACACAGGGCTGCGTGGGACAAATAGTACCCCGAACAAGATGCTTATTCAAGAGAGGGAGTTACAGTCAACAAGATGGAGGAATACCGGTTCAAAGCAGTATTCTGACATTAGCTCAGATTAGCTAAGGCCTGCGAAAGCAATACACATGACATTCATATGCCTATCTCTCTAGGGGCCAATCTTTGGAACATAGCTATCATAACTTCAACACAGTGTCTCGTGAGCGTCGTGCATGTAGTCAGACATCCGGCTACGTACACAGCTACGTAGGGCCTCTGTTATCATGAGCTACTCTGATACAGAAGGAACATTCAGTATTTTCCCAACTATTATATTTTCGTAGATTTCAGACTATTTTTTCTAAATTCTGTTTTTGTTCCCAAATCAGAGAAAAAGTCATATTTTTTTTTCATTCTGACTTTTTTTTTTTTTAAATGATTGCGATTTTTTTCTCATAAATCTGAAAAAGTCTGACTATTTTTTCAGAATCCTAATTTCACAACAAAAAAATCTGATCTGACCAAAACCTTTTTTCTGCGGATGACCAGAAATAAACTGAATACGTTGAATTTAAGGAAATGACATCAATGCATTTAAAGGGTTAATTAAACAACATGCTTCTCATCTTAAATTGAATGCTGCAGCAGGAATAACTGTTATGTTTTATTTCCCTCTTTGTCCTGACGAGAGAATCAGAAATTAGACTTTTTTCCAGAATAAAAAAAAGAAAGTCCGAATATTTCCTTCTCTCAGAAATCTGACTTTTTTTCTCAGAATTCTGAAACAAAAACAAAATGTAAAAAATGTTTAAATATTTTTTTCCTCAGTATTTTGGCTATTTTTTTCAGAATTCTGTGTTTTAAAAAATATTTTTTGAATAAAAAAGAACAATAGTTTTCTCAGATTTCTGCCTTTTTTTTGTAAAGAATTCTGAGAAAAAGTCAGAATGATTGATTTCTCAGTGTTTTGGCATTTTTTAAGAATTAAGATTTTCTTAAGAAATCGGAAAAAAAGTCAGAATATTTTTCAGATTTTTCCGAAAGTCTTAACTATTTATTTTTTCAGATTTCTGCCTTTTTTTTTTAAGAATTCCGACTTTTTATCATAATTCCGAGAAAAAAGTCAGATTTGATTTAATCTTTCTTAAATTGAATGCTGCAGCGTTAATACCTGTGCTCTTTTGTTTCCTCTTTGTCCTCAGGTTCAAATGTGTTTCAGCTCCCTGTAAAGGTCGATCAGGTTCACGACCTTGTGCAACTTCTGCTTTCCCAATTTTGAATTTTTGTGCAAACGAACATGAAGCTGAGTGAGTTTTGGGTTCAGTCGGAGTGAAGGGACAGAGACAGTTTGAGGCAGCCCAGCTCCTTGCCTTCTGCTCCCAGAACCCCCTGCACCCGGTAGTTTCCGTTGCTCAGCCAATAAGGGAGGTCCATGGTGGGGAGGGTGAAGTCCGACTGAGGGAGAGAGTACAAGCCCTGAGGAGAGAAAGGGAGTATCAGAGCAGAGGATCAGAGGATGTCTGCAAATACTTTATGCAGCCTGAGACAGATATGTCACTCCCTCAAATGTCAAGATTCAAGGCTTTTATTGTCATCTATAGCTACAGTGTAGATATACCAATACACATCTGAGGTCACAGGCTCCTCCAACAGTGCAACACAATAACACAGATACAATAGATTAAATAGAAATAGTGCAAGGAGAGTCTTTATACAAGTAATTGGAATATGATATATCAGATGCATTATTTTTGTCTTCAAAAAATAGCCCGATTAAAAGTAAAAAATGTTTTTTTAAACACAAATATTATCAGCGAATGATAAATGAAGGCACTTTAAAGGAAGCTAAACAAAGAAGAAAGAGCAAGTTAGTAGGCCCACCTTTAAACTTTCCTTTCCTTTTCATCACAACCTATTTAAAGTTGTGTGACTCCATCTTGCATAGTTTGAAGCTATCGCAGTGACAACATCTGTCTGCAGGATTTTAACTGACTCAAAGTACTCAAAAACTCCTATGTGGAAGTTTTGATTATTTCTGAAACAGTATGAAACAGTAAGCCTTTAGCTTAGCGGTGGTAACGTGAAGTCATGGGACCGTGCTGTAGTTCCTTTATAGCCCAACATTAGCCGCCTTTAGCTTAGCGGTGGTGACGTGAAGTCATGTGACCGTGCTGTAGTTCCTTTATAGCCCAACATTAGTCGACTTTAGCTTAGCGGTGGTGACGTGAAGTCATGTGACCGTGCTGTAGTTCCTTTATAGCCCAACATTAGCCGCCTTTAGCTTAGCGGTGGTGACGTGAAGTCATGTGACCGTGCTGTAGTTCCTTTATAGCCCAACATTAGCCGCCTTTAGCTTAGCGGTGGTGACGTGAAGTCATGTGACCGTGCTGTAGTGCCTTTATAGCTCAACATTAGCCACCTTTAGCTTAACGGTGGTGAGGTGAAGTCATGTGACCGTGCTGTAGTTCCTTTATAGCCCAACATTAGCCGCCTTTAGCTTAGCGGTGGTGACGTGAAGTCATGTGACCGTGCTGTAGTGCCTTTATAGCTCAACATTAGCCACCTTTAGCTTAACGGTGGTGACGTGAAGTCATGTGACCGTGCTGTAGTTCCTTTATAGCCCAACATTAGCCGCGGTGACGTGAAGTCATGTGACCGTGCTGTAGTTCCTTTATAGCCCAACATTAGCCAACTTTAGCTTAGCGGTGGTGATGTGAAGTCATGTGACCGTGCTGTAGTGCCTTTATAGTTCAACATTAGCCACCTTTAGCTTAGCGGTGGTGATGTGAAGTCATGTGACTGACCGTGCTGTAGTGCCTTTATAGTTCAACATTAGCCACCTTTAGCTTAGCGGTGGTGACGTGAAGTCATGTGACCGTGCTGTAGTTCCTTTATAGCCCAACATTAGCCACCTTTAGCTTAGCGGTGGTGACGTGAAGTCATGTGACCGTGCTGTAGTTCCTTTATAGCCCAACATTAGCCGCCTTTAGCTTAGCGCTGGTGACGTGAAGTCATGTGACCGTGCTGTAGTTCCTTTATAGCCCAACATTAGCCGCCTTTAGCTTAGCACTGGTCACTTGAAGTCATGTGACCGTGCTGTAGTTCCTTTATAGCCCAACATTAGCCGCCTTTAGCTTAGCACTGGTCACTTGAAGTCATGTGACCGTGCTGTAGTTCCTTTATAGCCCAACATTAGCCGCCTTTAGCTTAGTACTGGTCACGTGAAGTCATGTGACCGTGCTGTAGTTACTTTATAGCCCAACATTAGCCACCTTTAGCTTAGCACTGGTCACGTGAAGTCATGTGACCGTGCTGTCGTTCCTTTATAGCCTAATTGTATATTCCAGGAGCACATTTTAGTCATGATGACACACAAAGGATCACATGGCGTAAATAATATCAAGTCACTGTGCCGGTTGAGAAATTTAGACAGTTTAAAGCACATAAAAAATGCAATGATTAGGTTTAAATAAAAAAGCCCCGTTTCTGTAGTGATTCGATAAGATCTATCATATATATCAATATTCCAATTAGACTATTCTGCACAGTTTCTATCATATTCTGTTTTTATTATATTCTATGTTATTGTATTTACTTGTACTATTCTATCTGTTTTATTGTGTTGCACTGTTGGAGGAGCCTGTGACCTAAGATTTTCATTGACATAACTACACTGTAGCTATGTACACATGACAATAAAAGCCTTGAATCTTGAAGTATCAGACTGACTAACACAAAGCACTCACAGCTTTGAAGGGGCAGTGGCAGGGCAGCCCGTAGGTGTGCAGCGGCTCGGGGCAGTCCTCTCCGGGGGGGATCAGCTGGTTCAGGATGTCACAGGCGTCTTTATAGTGACAGCTGCCCAACTCCTCCACACAGGGAATCTTCACCCAGAAACCTGCCACCTCCTTCTCCAGAGTCACGTTCACCTGAGAGGAGAGGAGGAGGAGAGGAGGAGAGGGAAAGGAGAGGAGGAGAGAGTGAGCTTCTTCATGCAACTCTCTGCAACCTCAGGTCAGAAATAGACATTTTGAAGTAAACAGCTTTTAAGGTCCCCTATTATACTGTTTTTCATCAATATATTATAGGCATCAGATTTATACACAACATGGCTCCAAACACCAAACAGATCATTGCAGCATTACCCATAATCCCCTCTGTTTCAGCCCTGTTTCCAAAGTGCTGATTCTCTGTCTGTTACTTTAGATGAAAATAAGGAGCCCCTCCCCACGCCCCTCTGAGAGAGATGTGGTTACAAAGAACACAATGGTGCTCTAGGAGGAGAGTCAGGTGATAAGGTGGGGGGGGGGGGGGGGGGGGGGGGGGGGGGGGGGGGGGTGGGGAGGTTACCTTGGTTGCTGATTGGCTAATGGTTACACAAGACAACACATCGTTATGACATCATAAAGTGGCCAAAATCTGATCAGCTCATTTTCAGGTTTTTATAGAAATGGATCAAAAAGAGAGAGAATCTTTGTTCCTGAAACTTTCAGAGTCTCTTTACACAGAGGGGACACATGTTGATGTAGAAGAGACATGAAGAAGAGGGGACACATGTTGATGTAGAAGAGACATGAAGAAGAGGGGACACATGTTGATGTAGAAGAGACATGGAGAAGAGGGGACACATGTTGATGTAGAAGAGACATGAAGAAGAGGGGACACATGTTGATGTAGAAGAGACATGAAGAAGAGGGGACACATGTTGATGTAGAAGAGACATGAAGAAGAGGGGACACATGATGATGAAGAAGAGACATGAAGGAGAGGGGACACATGTTGATGTAGAAGAGACATCAAGAAGAGGGGACACATGTTGATGTAGAAGAGACATGAAGAAGAGGGGACACATGTTGATGTAGAAGAGACATGAAGAAGAGGGGACACATGTTGATGTAGAAGAGACATGAAGAAGAGGGGACACATGTTGATGTAGAAGAGACATGAAGAAGAGGGGACACATGTTGATGTAGAAGAGACATGAAGAAGAGGGGACACATGTTGATGTAGAAGAGACATGAAGGAGAGGGGACACATGTTGATGTAGAAGAGACATGAAGAAGAGGGGACACATGTTGATGTAGAAGAGACATGAGGAAGAGGGGACACATGTTGATGTAGAAGAGACATGGAGAAGAGGGGACACATGTTGATGTAGAAGAGACATGAAGAAGAGGGGACACATGTTGATGTAGAAGAGACATCAAGAAGAGGGGACACATGTTGATGTAGAAGAGACATGAGGAAGAGGGGACACATGTTGATGTAGAAGAGACATGAAGAAGAGGGGACACATGTTGATGTAGAAGAGACATGAAGAAGAGGGGACACATGTTGATGTAGAAGAGACATGAAGAAGAGGGGACACATGTTGATGTAGAAGAGACATGGAGAAGAGGGGACACATGTTGATGTAGAAGAGACATCAAGAAGAGGGGACACATGTTGATGTAGAAGAGACATGAAGAAGAGGGGACACATGGTGATGTAGAGGAGACATGAAGAAGAGGGGACACATGGTGATGTAGAAGAGACATGAAGAAGAGGGGACACATGTTGATGTAGAAGAGACATGAAGAAGAGGGGACACATGTTGATGTAGAAGAGACATGAAGAAGAGGGGACACATGTTGATGTAGAAGAGACATGAAGAAGAGGGGACACATGTTGATGTAGAAGAGACATGGAGAAGAGGGGACACATGTTGATGAAGAAGAGACATGAAGAAGAGGGGACACATGTTGATGTAGAAGAGACATGAAGAAGAGGGGACACATGTTGATGTAGAAGAGACTTGAAGAAGAGGGGACACATGTTGATGTAGAAGAGACATGAAGAAGAGGGGACACATGGTGATGTAGAAGAGACATGAAGAAGAGGGGACACATGTTGATGTAGAAGAGACATGAAGAAGAGGGGACACATGTTGATGTAGAAGAGACATGAAGAAGAGGGGACACATGGTGATGTAGAAGAGACATGAAGAAGAGGGGACACATGTTGATGTAGAAGAGACATGAAGAAGAGGGGACACATGTTGATGTAGAAGAGACTTGAAGAAGAGGGGACACATGTTGATGTAGAAGAGACATGAAGAAGAGGGGACACATGTTGATGTAGAAGAGACTTGAAGAAGAGGGGACACATGTTGATGTAGAAGAGACATGAAGAAGAGGGGTCACATGGTGATGTAGAAGAGACTTGAAGAAGAGGGGACACATGTTGATGTGGAAGAGACATGAAGAAGAGGGGACACATGTTGATGTAGAAGAGACATGAAGAAGAGGGGACACATGTTGATGTAGAAGAGACATGAAGAAGAGGGGACACATGTTGATGTAGAAGAGACATGAAGAAGAGGGGACACATGTTGATGTAGAAGAGACATGAAGAAGAGGGGACACATGTTGATGTAGAATAGACATGAAGAAGAGGGGACACATGTTGATGTAGAAGAGACTTGAAGAAGAGGGGACACATGTTGATGTAGAAGAGACATGAAGAAGAGGATTTGGCATAATAGGTGACCTTTAATTATGGTTTAATACGTATTTCTTATCATTCTACTTCAATAATACCTAAGGAAAGAGACGGTGAATGTCCAAAACGTTTTTTAGAGAAGGAAAAACAATATTTTGCAAGTGTGTGTGTGTGTGTGTGTGTGTGTGTGTGTGTGTGTGTGTGTGTGTGTGTGGTAAAAGCAGGATGTCGCTGATCTGCTGAACCACATGTATCAAGATAAGGATTAGAGTGGAAGAAGGCAAATACCACACTCGTCAAGAGAGGATACAGTGTGTGTGTGTGTGTGTGTGTGTGTGTGTGTGTGTGTGTGTGTGTGTGGTGTCACTATCCCTAGCAACTATAGTTAGTCAATCTGTCTAAAAGATCCCTTATATATGAATATTTGTAAAATGTGCACACACGTAAGACTGAATAAAAAGCCAGGTAATTAAAAGGAAATGAGTCAGCAGACAGATTCATATCATAGACTTTACGGAAAGGTGAAAGAAAATAAGATGAAATACAACACAAAATGTAAGTCAGGAAGAAAGGAGGATAGTGACATTATTGCTGACAAACTGAAAACACCATGGGTTAATAATAATAATAAACCAATCAGCATCGCATGTGATGTTGATGGAGAAAAGAGGATCGTCTCTTTTACCCTTGCATAGTTTAACAAGGTGTGATAAACATTTCAAAGTCTAGGCTTTGAGAAAGTCGCACGAAAACAGGACATTATTATTATCAGACCAAATAACAGCCTCACGAGGAAGAGAAACCTCACACTGAAAACAGGAAGCAAACACTATCTGTGTGTGTGTGTGTGTGTGTGTGTGTGTGTGTGTGACCCCATTAGCAGCCATTAGCAGTGCAGTTGACAGTAAATCCACCTTTTGTTTGACTTGAAGCCTCGCTGAAAGCTGCTGCAAGAGTGTGTGTGTGTGTGTGTGTGTGTGTGTGTGTGTGTGTGTGTGTGTGTGTGTGTGTGTGTGTGTGTGTGTGTGTGTGTGTGTGTGTGTGTGTGTGTGGTAAAAGCAGGATGTTGCTGATCTGCTGAACCACATGTATCCAGATAAGGATCTCTTCAAGAGAGGATACAGTGTGTGTGTGTGTGTGTGTGTGTGTGTGTGTGTGTGTGTGTGTGTGTGTGTGTGTGTGTGTGTGTGTGTGTGTTCTCCTCTTAAACACTTCCCACACAGCTCAGGGTCAGTCACTGGCAACGGACAGTTAGTTTATAGCTACATCAAATACACAAACTGATTATGAAAAGTCTGACACCTATAATAAAGGACTAGACACCCGTAAAGATACACACAAAAAACAACAATATACAAAAGTCAACAACATTGAGACTGAACATAGAGACTGAACAATGACTACAAAAGACACCAATTACCTACAAAGTGAAGACCAAGAGAAACCACCACACAAATACACAACCCCAAGAGCCGGGTTGCAACAGATGCAAGTCCAATTTCAGACTGACCATTAAAGTATTATCGTATCTGTTGGGAAAATACTGAACGTCCTCTTCCAATGAGAGTAACATGATAACAAAGGTATCCCAACTGCAGCTGTGTTCATGACAGGATGTGTGATGACCTAGAAGAGCATCAGGACTGTTTGAGGCAGATGATAGCTATGTGATTAACATGATGATTCAGCCTCTATGGAGAGAGACATCAAGCATGCTCATTTCTGACGTGGAGCTAATCTGAAGTAAACATTGAACACTGCTTTCTATTCCTCCATCTTGTGACTGTGTAACTCCCTCTCTTGGATATCAGCATGTGAAGGACACTGCTCAGGAACTAGTTGATGCTCTGTATGTGATGACTTCCATTCTGGAGAGGATCACAGATACATGGATCCTGAGGTTGAAGCTCAAGCCGGGGACCAGGGATTATTAACATTTTGAAGTATTCAGAAAAAGTGAGAATTTTGAGATTTTTAGAAAAAGTGAGAATTTTGAGATTTTTAGAAAAAGTGAGAATTTTTAGATTTTGAGAAAAAGCCAACATTTTTAGAAACAACTCAGTATTTTGTACATGACAACCGGTACCCCTCCATCTTGTGACTGTGTGACTCCCTCTCTTGGATATCAGCATGTGAAGGACGCTGTTCAGGAACTAGTTGATGCTCTGTATGTGATGACTCCTTCCATTCTGGAGAGGATCACAGACACATGGATCCTGAGGTTGAAGCTCAAGCCGGTGACGAGTGATACTTTTCTAACACGTATGGTGTTTTGTGCTCAGAGTGAGTGTACTCACGGAAAGCTGGGCAGCGAGCTCCACAGATGTGGATCCAGAGGCCGAGGCGGTCAATTCTCCGGGGATGGAGATCGGGTCCGGAGACACCGTCAGCGTCTTCAGGACCGCTGGAGCATCGGGCTGCCCGCAGTTCTTCCAGTCGAAACCCCTAACCTACACAGACACATGCAAAAGTATTTAAGTTTCAAGGTTTTATTGTCACAGTGTAGATATGACAACGAGAAACCAAAGTCACAGGCTCCTCCAACAGTGCAAGTTGTGCAACATGAATATATATAGGACGTAAAACAAATAAAACGCACTTGTTATCATATTTGAATTCACTGAAAGTCCCACCCCCTGACTAAGTCTCTATGTCCCGCCTCTAGTTATCCTTTTTTATTTGATCTTTTCTTTGTGTTTGAATTAATGTGTTATTTTTTGTATTAATTGTTGGTGTTCTTTGCTCTTTGTCATGTGACATGTATCAGGATGTGTAAGCGATGCCATGCTGTGACCAACTTTGCCGTTCCTGTGAAGGTGGGAGGATTCGTTTGTTTTATTGTAACAAAAGAGACATTTCCTGTAATAAGAAAACCAAAACCAGGAAATGTGAATATTGTCTGATACATCTGCACTCCTAAATGAATCAATTAAAACAACTAAAACAATAATAATAATAGTGTAAGAGAATGTATTGAGATGTGAATGAAATAGAAACAGTGCAAGACGAGTCCATACAAGTCCAAGGAATGATATATTTAAGCGGCACGACAGGCCGTGTCGATGGTCATTATCTCACAGCTCAGGGGCGTGGTTCGTATCTTAAATGCGTTTATTGTCTACATATCTTTGCCATTTATTTACCCCTAACCCAATAAGCTGCTGTGTCGTTTATTGCACCGCAAACATTGGAACGGCGATCAAGCCTGAAGCCACAGAGCTCTTTGTTTGAATGTTGAGGTGTAATATCAGAGTATCATATGCACGCTAAATCGGACTTCTGCGTATCTATTGCACGCCTTTGCAAAGTCGTGTCATTTGTGCGCAGACTGTGTTGGTTTTATTGATCATGCCTTGTGTTAACATGGTTATATATTTGTTTATTTGAGATTGATAGCATGGTCAAAACAAGGACCTCTGTTAGTTGATGATCACATGATGTCTTGTGAATGAAAATAAGTGATCAATCAATGAGAGGTCGATTCATCATTTCGTATCTTCCTTTAGGATCAGGACGTACCAAGAAGGGAGATTTAGGTGTAGAAGCAGTACAATATAAACAATATAGTCTAATATAATATAAAAGCTATATGGTATAGTTAAAGAACACAGTTGAAAGGTTACTGAAGAACCTTGTCCCCTTTAGATAAGCCGTATTTCTTTAAGTCAATCATCTGTACATAGGTAACTAATGTTTACATTCAGGTTACAGATGAAATGTGAGTGTAGCCTAAAGATGCCTGGACAGAGGATAATGTAATTATTAGCAGTTGTATGGTAGTATTAACAGTATTATTGTATCATTAGCATTACTATTGTGGCCTTTTATTAGTAGAAGTATGGTATTGTTTCCTGTATTAAGGTTTTATTAGCAAGTTGGTATCATATTATTAGAAGTATTATAGTACTGCAGTACTGCCGTATTATTAGCAGTATTATAGTAGAATTTGCAGTACTGCCGTATTATTAGCAATATAATGGTAATTTTAGCAGTAGTATGGTATTATTAGCAGTATTATGTTAGCAGTACTATGGTATTATTAGCAGTATTATGTTAGCAGTACTATGGTATTATTAGCAGTATTATGTTAGCAGTACTGTGGTATTATTAGCAGTATTGTGTAATTATTAGCAGTAACAGTGGATTAAGCCGTTATGTAGTGTTATAATGCCAGTATTAATATACATCTCACCTGAGCCTTGCTGACTCTCCTCAGACTGGAGGAGCTGTAGTTTACCTGAGTTAAAACTAAAACCAGGCTTAACGTGAGAAACAACACTTTGTCCATGATGTTCTTCTCTGAGGCAGCGACACAACCCGGAGGAGAAACAACTAATCGCACCGGTAACAAGAGCGACTCTGAAGTACATACACTTCCGTGTTTAGTTTACTATCACACCGGACCCAGGTCACGTGATATAGGCAAGTCTTACGCTGTGACGTCTTTTATGAATTAAAAAAATATGAATGCAATGTTTTATAAATTCAGATTCCTACTTCTTCTGTATTTTCTTCCATTGTAATAATAAACAGGCCTATCATGTTAATACAATTGAGAACCTGTAGATGTAATGACATGTAATCTCCTCTAGATGTCACTGTAAAACAGCCTTTCGCACACGCACAAGCACGCACACACACACACACACGCACACACACACACACACACACACACACACACACACACACACACACACACACACACACACACACACACACACACACACAGTCACATTGCATTTTAATACTCAAAATATTAATATTTGGTATGGAAACATTAGCATATTTATTCAATAACTTCCAGGTCAAGTGACCTAATGACTCAAAATCAGTGATGGATAAAATAACTACACAGGCTGTATACTAATACTTTGTAAGAAGTCCAGATCATGGATGTATAATATGAGCTAAATACAGTTTCTAAGTACATTACTTGAGTAAAAATATTCAACAGTGATGTATGTTAAAAACTGGTAGGAACCTTTACTTTTCACTGCCGCTGTTGCCACACGGACTCAAATGCCACACGGACATCACTACAATCGGCTTTCTGTTTGATATGTTTCCACCGTGAAATTACCGTTAGATATTATCTCTACCGGTTCTGTGTGCGTGTCATTACATGCACTTCTTAAATCAATCGTTAACGGACACTCGGTGGCGGACAAAGCGGACCAAAAAACGGGGAGACATTGGAACCCGGAGCTTTGGAACGTGAGAACCGCTACATGCTACGTGTACAGTAATAACAACCTGGAGGCCGGAGCGCTGGTTTTAAAAAACATGGATTATTTTCTTATTTTGACATAAATAAGCAGATGATTTCCAGCTGTAACGTGCCGGGGGGGTTTGGGTGGAGTTAGCAGAAAGTTAGAATGGAAGACAATGTGAAAAAAGATGAAGCATTAATGTGAAAAACTACTTTTCCCTTTTTGATTTTGAAGAGTTTTTTTAATCTCGACGGAAATCTGGGTTTTAAAATGATGTACTCATCCAAAAGAAAGCCTGTCCTCTACTTCAAAGAGGAGAGAAGGTAAGAGGGATATTGTTTTTATTATCAATATTATCAATTCTTTGATTTTACATTTATTCATTTTTGTTTTTAATTCTATATATTATTTACATTTTATTGTATTTTTACTACACAGTTATATATTTATTACATTTTTTAAGGTGATATTAATCTCAGCCATAGTTGCTACACCATTCTCTCTTTTTATTTTTTACAATTTTTACATATTATATTTATTACTTATTTTTTGTTATTTTAATATTTATTATTCATTTTCTTGTAATTTTTTGTTGTATTTTTATAATGATATTTAGCGTTCTTTTGCTAAATATTTGTATATATTCTTATATACTGCTTCACAATGGTTACTTCTTCGTGTCAGTACATTTATTTATTATTATATATTATTATCCACATTAATATGTTTAAAATATATTTGTATTTGTTTTAATATTCAGTATCTGCAAACTAACTTAAGAATTAAGCAAATATAATGCTGTAGATTAACCTTTTCAAATAGTTCGTAGGCGCTTTCACACCGGAGTACTTTTCCCAGGAATAGTTCCGATAGTTCCTGGGATTTTGCGTTCAACTTTTTTTCAGGAACTTCCCCCCCCCCCCCCGCATTAGCATTATTAGCATTAGCCCAGCGCACCAACAGAGAGAGACTAACTTATGAAAACACAAAATAAAACGTGGGAGCGGTGGAGTGATGAGTAGGTGTCGGCGCTTCTGGCGATTTACCCGGGAATTGGCAGTAAATCGCCTCCCGGAGTCCGGGACTTCAGGTGGCAGTATACGCCGTGAAGTTGTTTTCGGCCTGCCAGAAGAAGAAGAAGTGACGTCAGCGGCTTCATTAGCGTAATCTTCCCTCAGGGAACTTATTCCGGTCTGCTCTTAGTTCTGGAACTAAAGAGTTCCGGGGAATTAGGTTCCGGGAACTCTTCCTGTATCTTCCTGTGAAAGCGCCTCTTCAGTCCAAAACAAGCGTTAAAGAGAAGAAAGGAAGTATTAAGTTATTAAGCAGTAAAAAACAATTTCTTTGGCCTTTTTTTTTTTTTTAAAGAAATGAGATCTCTAAAGTCGCTCATCCACCAGATAAGTGAGTAGAGACTGTGGATCATTATTGCATGGCGTTGATAAAATCACTACAAATATTAGAGATTTCTGTGTTGCGTCTACATCTTTATAGAAGTCTAAAGACACATAAGCTGCTAAATACTCCGCTATGTTCCCTAACTAGGCTCTGATTTTTTTTAATGTATTTTATCGTAATAATATTTCTCAGAATAGCTCAATGTGTTGGTGAGAGCCTGAAGACTCAATCTTTTAGCACAAGTAGAAACATAACTTCCAGCTACGAGATGCTGAGAGGTTAAGTGTTGGATTTGATATCGTTTTATGATTATCTAAAAGCATAATATTGCAACTTTTAATTATTAAGAAAATTCTAAATTCAAATTTGGGAAAAACGATAAAATATCATAAATAAATGAAATATATAAATAAAATAACAATAAACAATCGAGTTAATCAGAGTTCATTGATGTGGCTATAAAGGAATTCTGTGAATGTTATTTTCTGCATTTTGTATTTATTGAAATATTTTTAGATTTGATGATAAAGGCTTTTTTTAAATGTAGGTTAGGGTTCCTCGAAAGTGTGGGAACATTTGAATTGTACTCCTAAAAAGCTCCACTTTTAATTTGAAAAGTGACAATGCATAAAGAATATTAACCTTAATTAAAACAAGATGTTTATGTACACGGTTTTGAAAAATAAATTCTCTCCGTTGTCCCTTCACAGGTGTGCGGAAACATTTGAAGATATATTCCTTCATATTTAATAAAAGCTATAGGAAACAATCAAGAATTAAAAAAGTGTCTCTCGATGCATGTCAGTGTGTATCTGAACTAAACATTTGATTAAATGTAGGCTGTATTTAAAAATAAAAATCAAAGTGCTCTGGAGTGTTGTTAATATGTGTAAAAAACGTTTCTCTGCATATTAAATCATTTCCTTTGATAATTTTTTTTAATTAAATGTCAGTATGTGTTTATTTTGTTGAGTTTCTTTGTTTTTCTGCACCTCTGCACTGATTGAGTTTTTTGCATTTATTTAACAACAATTAGATTAAATGTAGTCTATATTTAAAAATAAAATAAAAATCAAAGTGCTCTGGAGTGTTGTTAATATTTCTAAAGAACGCTTCTCTGCATACTAAATAATTCTCTTTCCTCCCCGTCTGCTGCAGGTTCCTCTCCGGTAAATGTACGGTTTACAAGCTGTTCGGGCTGTGCATGGTGCTGCTGCTCGTCTCTCTGCTCTGGCTCCAGCTCAGCTGTTCGGGGGAAATGTCCTCCCCGCTGCACGAGGAGCGCCGACCCCCCCCACAGCCCCCCTGCCCCCCCACCAACAGACAGGCGGAGGACGACCCCTCGTGGGGTCCTCACAAGCTGGCCCTCATCGTGCCCTTCAGGGAGCGCTTCGACGAGCTGCTGGTGTTCGTGCCCTTCATGCACGACTTCCTGAACAAGAAGAAGATCCGCCATAAGATCCTCGTCATCAACCAGGTGGACCACTACAGGTGAGGGGGCGCTTTAGTGTCACGGGGAATGATTTACAAGGTATCTCACTGAGGGAATATATAAGTTATGTCTTTTAAAATAACCGATTTATCCTCAGACATTTAAATTTAAAATGTACTTCGATCTCAGAGAATATAATTAATCATCATTCATTCAGTTGTTATAACACTACAGCGGAGGGGACGCTTTAGTTTTACAGGAAATTATTCATTAAATGATATCTCATAAATCTATTAATTGAACCCGGTCGACACTGGAGTAGTTTAGGGGAAGTGTCCTTCACAAAGGCATGTGGACTGCAGTCTATCTGAAGATTAGCGCACTGCGCCACAGCCACCCCTTCATTCCAGAAAACATCCCATACATGCTTCTAAGTGCACCACTTTCATCTCAGAGAATATCCAAAGACGTGTACACATCTAAAATCCCAGTGGTATAATATATGCATGTGTATTTCAGGTCAGTCAGTAGATTTCTGGCTTTATCTGTTGTTTTGAACATTGCAGACTGAAGCTCAGCGCTGACTTTTCAGTTCGTCCAAAAACAATTACCTCGGTTTTGTCTTTGTTTAAATGACGAAAGTTCTGACACAAACAGTCATTAAAAGCAAGAGAGCAAAATAAACATAAAACAAGCATACAGCAACTCTGGTATGAAATGCATGAGTAGAAGTTACAGTGCGGTGTGAGATATGAGTAGTTTCATTATAAGCAGCGGTGAAAAGAAAAGTCTTCAGCCTGGACTTAAAAGAGAGTTGCATTAGACGTTGTGTTCTTGCTCCAGGTTTAACCGAGCGTCCCTGATCAACGTGGGCTTCCTGGAGAGCGGCAACGACACAGATTACCTGGCGATGCACGACGTCGACCTGCTGCCGCTCAACGAGGCTCTGGATTACGGGTTCCCCTCCGAGGGGCCGTTCCACGTGGCGTCGCCCGAGCTGCACCCCCTGTATCACTACAAAACCTACGTGGGGGGGATCCTCATGCTCACCAAGAAACACTACCACATGGTACTGAACACACACAGGGATATACAGTTTACTTCAAAGTCACTTAAAGGTCCCCTATTATAGTGTTTTCATCAATATATCACAGGTCTCAGATATATACAGAGCCTGTCTCTGATTGGCTGAAACACCAAACAGATCATTGCAGCATTACCCATAATCCCCTCTGTTTCAGCCCTGTTTCCAAAGTGCTGATTCTCTGTCTGTTACTTTAGATGAAAGTAAGGAGCCCCTCCCCACGCCCCTCTGAGAGACATTTGGTTACAAAGAACTCAATGGTGCTCTAGGAGGAGATTCAGGTGATAAGGGGGGGGGGTTACCTTGGTTGCTGATTGGCTGATGGTTACACAAGACAAAACATCGTTATGACATCATAAAGTGGTAAAAAGTGGATTTTGCACAATAGGTGACCTTTAAAGGACAAAATAGTAACATTTGTCTGCCACATTAAAGGTCACCTATTATGCAAAATCCACTTCTTCATGTCTCTTCTACATCAACATGTGTCCCCTCTTCTTCATGTCTCTTCTACATCAACATGTGTCCCCTCTTCTTCATGTCTCTTCTACATCAACATGTGTCCCCTCTTCTTCATGTCTCTTCTACATCAACATGTGTCCCCTCTTCTTCATGTCTCCTCTACATCAGCATGTGTCCCCTCTTCTTCATGTCTCTTCTACATCAGCATGTGTCCCCTCTTCTTCATGTCTCTTCTTCATCAACATGTGTCCCCTCTTCTTCATGTCTCTTCTACATCAACATGTGTCCCCTCTTCTTCATGTCTCTTCTTCATCAGCATGTGTCCCCTCTTCTTCATGTCTCTTCTACATCAACATGTGTCCCCTCTTGGGTGAGACATGTTCTGTATATCTGAGACCTATAATATATGGTTTGAAAAGAGTAAAATAGGGGACCTTTAACTTAAATCCAACAGCTAAAGAAATACATATATTATAATTTTTTAACAATATAAATAAATAGGATAATATGTACATAATAATTCAAAATAAAATATTGATTATTCCCCAAACATTTTTTTTGCACATTTAAACAAATCGGACAGAAAAAAAATCAGACATGTATGTGAATATATATCTAAGGCTTTTACTTTTATATATTTAGCATATTAATGGTACTGCACAAATAAAATAATTGATTTGATAATTGACAGAAACAAAATGACAGTAATATAAATATATAATGACTTTGCTTAAGGTGGGGTAGGTAGGAATGGAGAAAACCAGCTCGAGTGCCCCTTCCTTCAGACTTCCTCACAGAGCCCCCTCCTCCAAACACACACGAACGCGCACATGCCCAATGAGGGCACGAGATAAGTTTGTGCCCAGATGGAAGGCTGACAGGCAGGTAGGCCATCCAGTTACTTTAGCCGGGCCGGCTCAGATGATTGGTCGAGCTTTTTACAGCGCTACAGCTTCCACAGATGAAATGTTGTTATGTATTTATTGTCAAAGCACTTAAGATATTCATTGCTATCGGGATGTTAAGAGCATTCCATGGAATATAACAAGTGTTTCTGAAGTGAATTACCTACCCCACCTTTAAGGTTTTTGAGATTGAGCAAAATCTTGAGCAATTGCGAGCATTACTCCGTTAACTTTGACTTCCCCTAAAATACAAGCGAAAGGGGAAGACGTTTTGAGCAACCGGCTCTCTTTTTCTGCTGAATCACCATCTTAGTTCAGTTGAATCCATTTTTCTCATCAGCACAAAGTCTACCGTGTTATCTCTGATGAAGAAATAAAATAACATTTCATTTTGTTTTCTTATTTCCAGTTGTAACGGGATGTCGAACAGGTTCTGGGGTTGGGGACGACGAATGACGACGAGTTCTACATAAGACTGAGGAAAGCCGAGTTACAGGTAGAAACATCAACATGTGGACTTGTATTTCATCAGGAGAGACTTAGTTCGTAGTTAACATATTTATGCTTTATGAACAATAACGTTTTTTGAGATTAGACCCCATAATACTGTGATGAATTAAGGGGGAGGAGAAGCCGACTAGAAAAGAGAAACCCCCCCGGGGTTAGACAGGTGTGAAGAACTAAGGGAAATACAAATCCGGAGTGATGAGGGTTCTTCTGGGCTAGCCTGCCCTTGGATCTGATGAGACTGGAGGTGAAGGAAGGTTGCATCAATTCTCCTGAACGTATGTGGCAGGGGAGAGAATAGAGCAGATCTTAAACGTTTTGCCGGGTGTGCTGTGAATTGGCTGGGGGATGAGACGCAACCGGTTTGGTTTAGCTGGGGGGTCTCTTGCGCCCTTGCTTATTGCAAGAAAGAATTGTGATGAGAGAGTGGGGAACCAGTCTTCGTGAAAGAACTTGCGCTGAGCTTCATTTGGACATTCATAAGCACAAACATACAGAATTGCAACTTTCACATACTTTATGTCTTACAATCTTTCTGTATTGAAAATGAGACATTACTAGTAGGGTGGTCCTTAAAATTGAAAGTGGGAAAGTCTAAGCTCACAACCTCTTCTTGACTAATAGAATGAATTCTGGGGGTTGGAGCTTAGACTTTCCCACTTTCAATTTTAAGGACCACCCCCTACGTGAGGCTTAAAACTTCAAGGTTGAAGAGGGAGGGGTAAATAGGCGCTTTCAACACCGGAGTACTTTTCCCCGTACTTTTCTCGTTTAGTTCC